CTGGCATTTCTCATGATATACTCTGCATAGAACTTAAATAAGCAGGGTGACAATATCCAGCCTTGACATACTCCTTTACCAATTTGTAATCAGTCTGTTGTTCCATTTCCAGTTCTAACTGTTGTTTTTTGACCTGCAAACAGATTTCTCAGGAGCCAGATAAGGTGGTATGGTATTCGCATCTCTTTAAGAATTTCCCTTAGTAAATGACTGTATATAAGGTGACTTTTCCTTTCTCTCCCGGTAGTTGAAAAATGTTGCTCTACTCTTTTTCTACTTACACTGGAAATTTTGTTCCATTATAGTTTTAAATATTTTTTTTCACCCCAATCTCAGCTCTATGGAGCTCCAAATAGCCACATACTTGGCTGCTTGAAGTTGTTTCACATTTCACTGATGCTCTGTTCATTTCTTACATTCAATCTTTTCCTCTCTTGTTCACTCGTGGTTTAATGTCTTTGTTATGCCTTCAAGTTTACTAATTTTTGCTTCTGAAGTATCTCATCTAACATTTATCACCTTTAGTATATTTTTTTCATGAGATGTAGTTTTCATGCTTAGAATCTCAGCTTGGGTCCTTTGCTATTTCTTTCATCTCTCTCCCTATCATGTTCAATATTTGATCTGTCTTCTTGATGGAGTATCCAAAAGAGTTATAATCCACTTTTTAAAATCATTGTCTCATAATCCTATCATTTGTACCACTTTTGAGTCAATTTTGTTTGATTTCTCTCCCTGCTATGAGTTATAATTTTCTGTTACTGTTGGCCGATACATAATTTTTGATTAGGTGCCAGACACTACAAATTTTATGTTGTGTATCCTCCAAATTTTTGTATCCAGTGAAGATTATTGAGCTTTATTTATTAATTTACTTGGAAAAAAATTCACTCTTTTGGTCTTGCCTATGAGTATCCTTAGTTAGATCAAAGCAGTATTTAGTGTTTTCCCCCATTACTGAATCAAGATCTTCTTAGCACTGTCTTCAGTGACCCACTAATTTGAGGTTTTGCTCTCTGGTTGGTGGGAAAAGTCATTCATTCAAGCTTTATTTGATGCTTATATCAGGCACTATTTCCCTTCATCTTCTCATGTGGTTCACTTGCCAACCATTGTTAGTTACCTCATCCATTTTTGCTAATCAGTAAATTTGGAAAAGACCCTGATGCTGGGAGGGGTTGGGAGAAGGAGGAGAAGGGGACAACAGAGGATGAGATGGCTGGATGGATTCACCAACTCGATAGACACAAGTTTGGGTAAACTCCGGGAGTTGGTGATGGACAGGGAGGCCTGGCGTGCTGTGATTCATGGGGTCGCAAAGAGTCGGACACAACTGAACAACTGAACTGAACTGACATGATTCTATACTTGAAGTGGACCCTCTACAGACTTCTGGAGTTCTTTGCCCACCTCTCTTCTTCTGGTGCTTGACCTGCAAACTACTGATGCCTTGCCCTGGCCACCCACTCTCTGCTCTATCACTGTGTCCATGGGTCTACCCCATGACCTCAGTATCTCCAGCCAGAGACCTAGAGCAGCAGAATGAATCACCTCATCTGATAATTTCCCATCTCCAAGGGATCACTATACTTCATTGTCTGATACTGAATTCCTTGACAGCCATTAACTATATGGAAATTATGGATTTTTCAAGACAGAGGATGGAGTGCAAATTCTATTCCAGTTTGTTGTGGAAGGATGGAAGCTGCTGTACCCCTTGAATGACTGTTTAGCAAATCAGTTTTCCTCATTACTTTCACATGTAACTCCGTTATCTTCCACCATTAATTGCTACAGGAAAAACATTATTGTAAGCCTTATTATTATTATACTAGTTAACATTTTTCCTGATATTTGTTTAAAAAATTAAAAAGACTTCTTTATTCCTGTGTTCAGTGTCTCAACATGGAACTGCCTATGTGTAATTTTTCCCTGTGAATACACTGAGGTCTGTTTTAACATTATGCTTTTCAAAGAAAAATATTCCCATTAAAAATATTGTTTTAACTCAATGTCACTTCTTTGCTGTTTCCTCCATCCTCTATCCTCAAACTTACCAGAAAAATTTTAGCTTCTGAATTTATCCTTCTGCTTACCTGCTTTTCTACATTTTTAATCATTTTTATCTTGTGATGCTTAATTCTGTGTGATTTTTCTCAATTTTATATTCTAATTTACTATTTTTATGCAGTCTAGGGTCTATTCCTTTATACATCTTTAAGTTTTAAAAGTTGAATTTTTCATGTCAAAGAAACTGAATTAATTCACTTTCATATTCCAATTAACTAATTTCATTTGATTGAGTTTTATTTCACAATTTCTTTTTTATTGATGTGATTTTTTAATTTATTTCTTTGAAGATAAATCTAAAATATTTCCTAAAAAATAAAATAAATAAAAATATTTCCTAAAATTTTCTTTATAATTCATGAACAAAAGTATGTTAGTGCTTTGTCATAATTATATCACTTATCTTTCATAAATCTGAATTTTTTTCCTGCTTTCTGTTGGTTTTTATATGCTCATTTCAAATGGGAGGCATTTATTTTTTGTTTCACTTTTATTTTTCTTACTGTCTCCTTCTGTGCTCACCCCTTCTTAAATAGGGACTGGTGTTGCTTGCTCAAGGATAACTAACTTCTGGTAAACTACACTTTGCCAGCCTCACGATTCAGCTGTAGGTTATAGACAGAATGTTTGTGACAGCTGATAATGATTACTTATTACAGGCTACTTATTGAGAACTGATGCAACTACCTTGAAACTGCTTCCCACCTTGAACTACGTGTGGTTCCAAACTTAATTCAAACCCTTCTATTCCTCTAAAACATCTAGAGTCAGACCGCAGTCATCCTTTCCTAATTTATAGCATAGTAGGCTCAACACTTAGTCACCACTTTACTGATTCCTTCTTTTTCTAATCTACAAAAATACCACTTCTAAATCTATATATACACACCTTTAATTATGTTGACCATAATTGATGGCTGAAAGTAGGAACCAAAGCATACATTTATTATGCCACTATTTTGGTAAAATCTTTAATCAGATTGTTTATCATCACGAAACCAATATATCAATTAAGAGCTATATGAACAACACTTTCATTTATTCTAACATTTTTTTCTAAAAACATCAGGAAAAAATCCTCAGTGAAATTCACAACAAAGATGATTTTCTAGCCTCTCATGTCTTTTTGATATGAGTTAATTTTGTAAACCAGGAGACAAATATTAGTAATTTTTCTTAATTGAAATGGTATGATTTCTAAAAATCAATTTTTTTTTCAGAGAAAAAGCCATGAAGAAGGTCAGCTATTTATAATATGAAACACAGGAATTAGACTAAAATACCTTAGTCAAATATAGATACCTACTTCCAAAGAATTAGTCATAAAAATACTTTTTCAAACTTCTAACTTAGAGAGCATGTATCCAATTAACCATTGCCTTGAAGGCTTTTCTACTTGGACCTCTTGAGGTAGAGGTCAAACAGAAGAGTTAATTGCAAATTTCAAAGTGGAATTTTAGGACAAATTAAAGTATTGCTCTCAGAAATCTGATTTGTCATAGATACCTTGTAATTTGCCTAAAGATATACTCCACCAATGTCTTCATGTAAAGTAGTTTTGTATTGGCTAACAATGCAGGATAGTAAAAGATAAATTAGTTTAATTACTTCATTGAATGTATGGTCTCAATTTGGCAGGCCTGTTTAATGATAGATTAAAAGTGGAAAGATATATGTTGTTAAGAAAAGCAGCATAAGGGTTACTTAACCTTAACAACAGCATAATCTCAACCCCAAGCACAAAGTTAACCATATTTTGATATGCAGCTCAGCTAGGGGGTACTATTTAAACAGATAGCTCATGCATGCCCTAAGACTATTATTATCTTGAATAATTTATTATCACCAACCTCCTCTATCCCATCAAATTTCACTAGAAAAATTCCTCTTTCTAAGGAAGGCAGCAGCATTAGCTTGCTCCCTATCATTTAGCCTCTTGGAGAATCTCTCTGGGATCATCACACCACCAAACAAACACCAGATATTAAATTAGCTTGTTCAATGTGTGTTTAGGTCAAGTTGGAATAAACAAAAACTAGATCGTGACTCCATACATAGTATGGTTCCTTTGCTCTTTGGCATACATCTTCCTTTTTCTTGAAAGGAATGGAAAACAAACAAACAAACAACCTGGAAAAGAGTCCTTTATTCATCTACTAGTTTTCTGCTGTAATCATCTTTACAGAGTATGGCTCATAAGATTTGCAGTGACTTATGCTCAGGAAGTATTGCCTTTAAACAAAGATCAAGAAAACCCCACATATCAAACTATCAAGTGCACACACATAAAAATGTAGTTCAAAAAATCACATGGATAGCTATGTTTCTGGGGATTCAGTACTCAGAGATACTTCAGTACAACCTGAGGTACTTCAGGTAAATGCTTCCCAAATCTCTTGCCAATTGTACTCTTGTTTTAAGAGTTTACTCTGTTCAAATGCCATGGTCTTCTGTGGCTTGTGCCTCTATACTTTTGAAGATGAACTATGATTTGGAGTATAGAGAGGGACTGAGCAACTAAAAAGCATAGGATGCTCATCTTTTCCTTTGAATGAATGAAATAAATATTTTGTAATAAAGTATTTTTCTTAGAATTGTTGAAAGTTCATTTTTCACCCATATTTGTGTTCCAATTTGTGACCTTGAGAATATTCACAAATTATTGCAATATTCTTCCCTTTTGAAACTGGCAGTTGAGCAAAATTTAGTAAATTGAGCTATCTAATTTCTATTTTTTAGATGAATGTAAGTTAAATTAATTGAAAGCAATCCCTGTATCCACATGCCATATTAGTCCATTCACTTTGCTATGTAATCTTGCATTATATCTGATTTACTCATGCACTCGCTTGTTTGAAGTGTTTACATGTCTTATTTTGTGAAGTGCGGCTGTTATCATTCTTGTACATGTCCCCTTTTTATATGGGCAGATTTCTCCTGGGTATCTACCTGTGATCGGGATTGCTGAAGTAAAACGTGAAATGCGACACCAGTTCTTGATCTTGGCAACTAGATGGGATATTGAATGCTAGGAGGGTGAGTAGCATTTTTTTTTAATGTAGTAAATGGAATTAAATTTCAATTTATTTAATTAGAATTTGCTAGATATATCAGTGTATTAGAAAATGATTCATTTATGGCCAGTAATAAAGCTAAGCAAGGAGTTCCTGGAGTCCTGGAGATGGGGGAGAGAGTGCATTTACAAAGAGAAGGTAAGAGTGTTAAGATGCTACACGGTCCTATACTTGAAGAAAGGGTGGAAGTAACCATGAAAAGGAAGCCATGAGGAATCTGGAGGAAGAGGTTATAGACACTAAGGCTATGTCATGCCTGAATGTTTGGGGAAGTGTAGAGAAGTTCATGTGCCTCAGTGATATGAATCAGAAGAAAACGATAGAGATGAGGTCTCAGAGGTGACCAGAGTACAATGTGGGTAGCTCAGGGAAAGGCCATTGTGAGTAGGTTGGTTTTCACCCTGTGAAAGGAGGTGCAATCACATGTTTTTAATTAGAGGAGTGGTATCATCTGACATGATTTTTCAAGGACCACTCTGGGGTCACACTTGAGAGTGGAACACAGAATGGCGCATGTGAGCCCAAACCTGAAAATGAGTCTAAGAGTATGTCTTTTCTCTGTATTGGTTATGGTGTGTGTCTTTGGGGAGGAAGCAGGCATGTTTATTAACTTGATCTGCTGGTAGAAAGGAGACAATGGGCTTTCACTTCACTTCATCAGTGAAAATAGTGTATAGCAACATCTATCTGTCAAATAAATGAAGCCCCTAACTTCATCAACCCTTAAAACAGTATTCCACACATGAAATGGTTTCACTAAGAGTCCTGCTTGGTCATAAAATGATTTTTCCAACCTAAAAGATGACTGATGGGGATTAAGAGTTAAAATGGTATTGCTGTCTGACAGCTAAGTGGAGATGTCATGGGCCATGAGAAAGTGAACACTGAGCTGGGGAAAATTTGGTCTAATCTTCAAGGCATCTGAATTTATTATTGTCATATAAAAGAAACTCTGTTCTGCTTCTGAATCTAGATGAGATAGTTCTCCAAAGTCTGAGGAGAAAAGTTTTTCCTAGACACTAATATTTTTCCTAAAGATCTGGTTTAAATTTTTTTGCAGAGGTCATTAGAAAAGTTTTTGTCCTGGAAAGGATACTAGGTCAATAGAGTTTTATTTGAAGTTGCAAGTGCTCTGAGTGCTTCAGAAGCAGATGCTTATTTCTGCAGAGGTACCAGACATTGTTCTTGTAAAACTATTACCCTATATGGTAGAAAATAAGAAACAAATTTTATAGAGTGCTTTACTTTCTGCCAAAGGTTATTTGGAAACTTCTAAATGATGAGGTCAGTTCTTTGAACAGTTAATGTCATTCTCAAGATTCTATTTGATACAAGTTAAAATTACAATAGAAAAAGTTTAAAAATCAGTTCAAGAAGCTGAAATGCGTGAATCTGTTATTTTTATGACTTTGTGTAAAATGAAAAGCATGCATAAAACTGTAGACAGTTTCATGAAACATTAGAAAGTGGGAAAGAATATTCTTATTTTGAACATATATGAGGAATTCATGGAGAGGATTCTTTAGGATATATTAGGAAAGATTTGAAAAAATTAATATCATTCTAATAAATATCAAATATTTTGTGACATAAGATGGTTTTCAAGTCTGCTGCTTGCCTATCTATCTACCTACCTATCCAGTTTCTTTGTCTTACATTTAGAATGTAAAGTTTTGGAAAATTAAGGAGAGTTAAGGAACTCCAGAAGTAAAATATCCAGAGAAATAAGCAAGACTTTGCAATTCTGAAAGGGTTGGTCATTAAGATATTATCCATATTAAAAAGCAAGGAGCTAAATAGATGACTAGAAAATATGCATATGATGCAAGAGACCACCTGGGACCCTCCCTTCTCCTCTTGCATACTCAGAGCACTGCTTAGACACAGAACATAATAGAGCGGTTCTGTTCAGACAGGGAAGTCATGAAGCAACTGCTGTGACTTACCAAGAATAATGGATTTAAAGGTCAAAAACAATTCCCGGCCCTGTCTGTTTTCCTATTTACCAATGTTAAATAACTCAAATACAAATTGGATGAAGGTGTGAAGGAATGATCCCACTGTAGTTTCTGGCCACCTAACTTAACCAAAAGCTTACCAAGGTTGATTCCTCTAGTCTGTGTGTTATGAAAAAAAAAAAAAAAAGGTTGTTCTGGAGAAGACATCATTTGCCAGCATGTGAAGGCTATTTTTGTTATGAAAAAGCCTCACGATGAAATTTGGTTGGTGGCAAGATTATAGAAATCTTCAAAGCCAGGCATGTCGTCTCACCTGGGGCCCTGGCATATGGCATAGGCAGAGCTAGTAAGAGGCCATCACCCACAGGGATGAGCCAGAGAGGGCACAGGGAGACAGCATCAGGTTTCTTCTGGCAGCTCTGGTGGGACTGAGGACTGGAGTATCCTGGTGGACTGAGGACTGGAGTATCCTGGTGGACTGAGGATTGAGGATCCTGGTGGACTGAGGACCCTGGTGGACTGAGGACTGAGTATCCTGGTGGGACTGAGGACTGAGTATCCTGGTGGGATTGAGGACTGGGGATCCTGGTGGACTGAGGACTGGAGTATCCTGGTGGGATTGAGGACTGGAGTATCCTGGTGGGATTGAGGACTGAAGATCCTGGTGGACTGAGGACTGAGGATCCTGGTGGACTGAGGACTGAGTATCCTGGTGGAATGAGGACTGGAGCGTCCTGGTGGACTGAGGACTGAATATCCTGGTGGACTGAGGACTGAGGATCCTGGTGGACTGAGGACTGGAGTATCCTGGTGGGATTGAGGACTGGAGCATCCTGGTGGACTGAGGACTGAGGATCCTGGTGGACTGAGGACTAGAGCGTCCTGGTGGACTGAGGACTGGAGTATCCTGGTGGACTGAGGACTGAGTATCCTGGTGGACTGAGGACTGGAGTATCCTGGTGGGATTGAGGACTGAGTATCCTGGTGGACTGAAGACTGAGTATCCTGGTGGGACTGAGGACTTGGTTATCAGTGTCTAGGTTCAGTAGTGCCAGCAGTGGTGAGAGCATTCTAGTCATACTGGTGCTCAGTGGCCAAGCCTCTGGTTTCTTGATGCTTCTGATTCCAGGGAGATTTCAGAATCTGCTTCCCTGAGTTTCTCTTTCAACGGGCCAGTTTATATATTTCTAAATTCCTTTTCTTCCTGTGTGGCCGCATTGCGTTTNTCAGTGGCCAAGCCTCTGGTTTCTTGATGCTTCTGATTCCAGGGAGATTTCAGAATCTGCTTCCCTGAGTTTCTCTTTCAACGGGCCAGTTTATATATTTCTAAATTCCTTTTCTTCCTGTGTGGCCGCATTGCGTTTCTAAGGTCTGCAGCCAGCAACCAATAACGCTGACTGAGGCAAGTGTTGAGAAATGTTTCCTAGATTTCAACAACCTTTGCTTTATAATTTGATAATATTAATAGCGTTTCACTTTTTATGTAAATAAATATCTGGTGATTTGATAATTTACATGGTATTCTCCTTAAGGATTGGACGTGGGGTTGTGATTGAATGACATGAGTGAAAGGTAGATCCTATTAGTTAATAGTGTGTTTTTTTAACTTAGTGATTTTGGAGGGATTGATCCTAAATTGCTTTTTCTCAATCAATAGTTAATCTTGTTAATTGTTTCATAATAACACATAATTTCACTTCTATGACTTGGAAATATTTATTCCAGTCTTGAGCATTCAATAAGCAAAAATCATCTGTACTTTGAGACAAATTTACTTTTTAAAGGATACAAAGAAAAGAGCCATCTTATAAGAAAAACATAATATTTCCATCTTCTGTCTCTTCTTTGATTTCTAAACTCTTTAAGTGGAACCAAGTAACCACAAACACTAGGGAGACCTGACCTTTCTGTGACAAGTTTAGAAATAAGTGGATGAACCTCAGGGGGCAAATTTGAAAGGAAATATCCTAAAGATAATTAAGTACATTTTTCAAACTAAGGGAAAATGCCTATGTGGGGCATATTTTTGTTGAGACTCATTTTTTAACCTGAAACTACAGGATAAAGATTATTGTTACAGGTTTTCAATAGAAATTGCCTTGAGAATCCTTCTCTTTGAAGCTTGTCCCAGAGCTGCATATAAAATTTGCAATAACAAAGTGATTATTATCACTGTATTCATTTTTTTTTCATATTTAACATAACTTGTAAGTGAATCTGTACCAAATGAAATACAGTTCCCCATTAGCTAAACTTATACTTTCACCATTACTTCAACCAGAATGGACAATTTAAGTTAATGGAATGTTGAGATGTGTATGGATAAAAGAAAAGGTTGAAAACTAGGGCCTCCTGGATTTTCTTAGTTCAAATCCCACCTGATCTCTTCTTTTGCTGTGATACAAAAGTTGGCCTTTGTGTGACCAACTATAAAACTGGCCCAAATCTAAGCAGAATCTCATTTTTAAAATGAATACTAAACTAAAACCCTTCAGCATATGAATTGCAAAGATGCCCTTATGGCCACAGGTTTCATGGATGGGGACAGTGCAGTGATTTGGAATAGAAATAGTTACATGTGACATACTTTGCTCATCTCATGCACAGTTTGCTGGTAACACATTCAGACACGTTCAATGTCAAGATGCTCTTTATAGAATGTTGTAAACACAGCTGTAAATATGCACTATTTCTTTTAAATCTTCATTTTTATTGCCATTATGCATAGTAGAGTTGTGAGAGTTTCACCAGGGATTTGTGTCAGGTTTGAAACATGTCCTTGAAAGATTTTAGTAAAGAAAGGAGATATCCAGATTCATGATCCTGAGGTGTTTCATCAAAATCTACATTGAATACAAGTAGATTATAATGTGACCTATGATTCAGAAATGCAGTAAATAAGGTAACAAGAAAAAATACAATTGAAGAGATAGTGATCTAGCGCTAAATATTCAGATGGGTATCATATAAATGCAAATAGTTATTTCAATTAACTATTTGCATC